AATCACAGTTTAAGCCAAATCCTGCAGGACTTTAGGGAAAATCAAAATCCCTACCACCTCTGGACATTCAAGAGGATTTAACATTTCCAAGATAAAATGTCAGACCTTGATTAGGTCTGGACTTTGATTAGGCCATCATATCTCATGATTCTGATTTGATCTAAACTATTGTGCTGAAGCTCTGGTTGTATGTTTAGTGAAGTAGTCCTACAGAAAGAGAAGTTCCACAATATATTATATATATATTTAGTTACATCCATCACATTTTTTTAAACAAGAACCTTCTGAAGCACTTGTTACTCCTGTTGCTGTTTTCATGCACTGATAATGATTATTTTTTAGCTGCTAATGCAACAATCTGCCGCTTGCCATGGATAAAAATATGCTTAATTACTTATGGCAATATTATTTATTTAATTCTTCATCAATTTATTTAAGAGATGCAGACCAAGCTTCTATCAGGAATCTCTTCTTTACATACAAAGTAAAATTAACTAACAGAAGATAATCCAAGAGTTGTGTTTCCATATCTGATCTAAGAAGATTGATAAACATCTTACAAGGAAAAGAAGAAAGACACCACCCTAGAAAGGACTGGTACAATTTGCAGACAGTTTACTTTAGGAATATTTTGGATGGTTTCTATCCTCATCTTGTTTGCAAAAGCATTAAGAGCTGTGATGCAACCAATACTGGTTCTAGATTATTAATTTGACTAGCCACATAAAACCCTAAAGTAAAGCTGCAAAGTGACTCGGTGAGAAGTGCAGAAGTGAAGAACTGCACTATGATTATTGTCCACCAGAGGGCTCTCACTTCAAGAAGGAATCCTGCCAGAAAACCTGCTGCTTTCCATCTAAACATGGTTTGAACCTGCCTGCATTTCATAGCTATTGATTGATGGTCGCTTTTAATCATATATTTATTGGACTAATCAAGACCTCAGCTTAGATTACCTTGAACTAGCCTGACATGGTAGAGGATGAAGTGGCTGAAGTTTTCATGTCATGCTGACATCACACATTCCCACAGCTGACATCATGAGCAGAGGACCCAAACACAGACAGGAAACAGGAACGATTATTATAACCAAGGATTTTAATCAACAGGATTCAGGTAAACCTGATGAACACAAACCTACACAAAACATTTCTGCTGGATAACCTCTGCATGGCAGCTTCAGTATCAATCAGATATAGTTAAATTTCCATATTTGATAAATATAAAAAATAGTGCATTTTAAATGCTCTTTTAGATTTATCAGACAAGGAGGTAATAGAGTCTAACCAGTTAGAGTCCAACCAGTCCAGTGCCATTTCAGGCTGAAGAGTTCACCTTTTGCCATGATCTGCCCTGATAGCTGACCTTAATTATTCACTTCATCCACCTGCCTAACTCTGCCCAGTCTCTAATTATCACTCATCCTATCCACCTGCGCCTGCTGCTTTATGTACGGGTAAGCCCAGCTATCAGGGCTGGATCATTCTTTGTATTGTGTCTGTATGGTAGTTTGCTTGTTTGAGTTTGGTTATTCCAGAGTTCATATTCCCGCCCCAAGAGGCCAGTTGGTTAAAAGGGTTTTGGTGTTTGTCTTGTCTCCTGATCGTGTCCTGGCTCCTAGTGGAGATCAGTTTAAAGTTCTGTAGTTGTCCTGGTACCATGTTTTTTCTCTGTCCCTCAACCACTGAGCCTGCCTGTCTCCATCTGTTTGTGTCTGTCTGAGCTCGCTGCAGGACTCATGGAGCTCTGAACCTGCCTTCATGCTATGTGGATTCCTAGAACCCTGGATTTGTCTGTTCCTGTGTGGATCGGAACCCCTGACCGGGTTTCAGACTCCTGGATTCCAGAGCTGTTCCTGTCTGATCTGTTTCCCTGACCTGGATCAGAATCCTGCCTGCTCACTGAGGTTTCTGCATCGGGGACACTTTGGACAGCTCTGCTCCGCAGCTCGTTTGGCAGTCTATCGGCTGGATCCTGCCTTCCTCTGAGAGGATGGACTGAACTGTTAAACCAGAGTGTCAGTGATTGGGCGGTGCCCCGCCTCCCCCCTGCCGCCGCAGCGGTCCGCAGATCCGCAGATCCGCACTTCTGTTTGTCTTGTGTTAATAAACGTATTAAACTTTCAGTGTCTGTCTCACCATAAAACTGGGTCCATCTGTCCCCATTTTATGAAACATTTGGGTTCACAGCTACACACTAAGACCTTCTCAATGTGTCGCTGCTGCTTCATGGTGCATCATTATAGGTGTAGGCCATACTGCATCAAGCTGGGCTGAGCAGGGTGACCTTCTCTGTGCATTACACTCATCATATGAGGCAAAGTGCTTAGTGGTGACAGCAGGTTGCTTCAAGTAACAGAAAACCTGAAGCTACAAAGGAGATGGAGGAGAAGCTGACCAGGCATTAGCATCTGCAGCCTTTAACAGGATTCATGACACATCAAAGTTATCTGAATCAAAATAAAGATTTTAACACTGATAAGAGCAAAACAGGAATAAAATAAAATAATTGGAGCTTAGAGAGCCGATTTAAAGATAAAGAAAATTAAAGATGCGAGAAGAAGTTATTAGAATGAGACCCAGGGGTGTTAATGAAGCCATATAAGTATCTGATAGATCTAGAAGAAATAGAATAACTAAGGTCATCATTTCAAATGAGGGAAACATCAGGAAATCATAAATACAGCATAAACACAGCAGTGCATCAACATCAGAGCAAAGTTTTGGAAAAAAGGATCAGATTATGCAAAATAAATGATGATATGTAATTTGTAGCTAAGTTTAATTTTTTATTGAAGTTTGTATAGCTCTGGGGGAAAATAATCTCATCCAATTTTTTCCTTTTTTGATTTCTTTTGTCCTAAATATTTTTTCAGATGATAAAACAAACATCAACAATAGATAACTAAAACCTTAGTAAAAACAAAGAGCAGTGTTGAGCTTGATCTTTTAATGACAATAGCGCCCCGAACCGAACAGAGCCTCAGGGAAAACTAAGTCTCCCTGAAACTAAAAGCTGGTTGCTTTGTCCTCTGGTCCTTTAGGAGTTCCTGATAGTTGATGATGAGTCATCTTCTGCGCGGCCGCCGAGGAGGTTGGACTCTCTCTGCTTTGAAGATGCTATAAAACATCAGGAGCTTTTCTCAGCATTAGCGCCTGTTTCAGGTTCCAGCATCTCAAGGATAATTTAAGTCCAGACTTTGACTAGGCCACCACAAACTACATGGTGTTTATTGTTGAACTGCTCAGAGGAGAACCTGCTCACGTTTGTTGGTTTAATGACCCGCTGCTGATCCCAGATGTTCTCCAGCTAGAGAGCAGAGTTCAGGTTTCCACGGCAACAGGCCTTCACCATGTTTGGTGGTAACCTGACCTGCAGCATCTTCTTCAAATGCTGATTAGTTTTAGGTCAGATGTAACAAGATACTCACCTTCTAATAGGTTCATTCAGCCTCGCCATTCTATTTTTCTTTAGCATTTTCATCTTTAGCAAATTTGAGATTTAAAAATTAAATATTTTTTCTTCTTTATATCTATTTTCTATGTTTAATCAAGTGACCTATTTGTAGTTACATTCCTTTTGATCATCCAAAGCATTTATACGGGGAAAAAATGAAAAGAGAGGAAAGTGAATACTTTTCCACAGAGCTGGATTTGTAGGAAGTTCGTGATTTTATTCTAGTCAGAGAAAAATATTCAGGACAAAGCAGGAGGAATGTAGGCAGTGAAGTGAAGTTTTTTATCACAGTTTTCCACGTTTGTTTTAATCCTGCCTTTGTGTTTAGAACATTTTGCTTAGCGTCCCCCTGAGGTTTTAACTGGATTATCAAATCTGATCATTTATTATCGTTGGCTTTTCTGATACTGCGACGTGTACAACCCTAAATCCTGACACTAGTAAGGATTTTGGTTTGTTTTTATGACGTTCGGCAGAAATAAAATATAAAACAACCTTCAGTATGTAAAGCATTCAACTTTTATTAAGTAAAAGATCCATATGAGCTTCACAGCCAGGCTGCTTTTCCCATCTTCATGTCTCTGTGTGCAGAGGGTAAACTGACCATCTTACTTTACCTCTCTAAACCACTTTTTATTGCTGTGTAGGTGCCATAAACACACCTATTATTTTTTAATAATAATAATAGGTGTTTATTCTTTAACTATAATACCGCACTCTGACCTTTCTGAAGTGGGACATCAAAGTTTTTTTTCCCTTTCTTCTGTATTTCCACCTGTCATGTTAAGGACTGTTAAGGACATCTATGAGTACATAACCAGCCTTCAGACCAGAAATCAGTGTCAGATTATTTGGAGCCATTGGTGAGCCATTCTGCCTGAATCCTTTCTGATCTGAAGGTCTACCTGGACCTGGACCTGGACCTGGACCTGTGCCCCGACTCTCCCTTGGATTGCCTCTTTGTAAGGAACTCAGAAAGTTGGACCCAGAATTCAAGGCGAGACAGGCAGTGAGAAAGTTCAAAATGTGCATTAACACAAAAAACAAACAGGAACGTGGGGCTGCTCATCAGCTGTGGGGCGAATCTCTGCAGGGATTGGAAATACAGGTCAGTGGTTGGATTGTCAGGCTAATCACGACTAGGAGCAAAGTCACTGACCTGATTTAGAGTTCAGTCCGATCCAGGGGGAAAGAGTAGAACCTAAACTAGAGGTAACACCCCAGCTTGAGGGGGGCGCCACCCCCCCAGGGTTCCTAGAGAGAGAGCAGAGCAGGCGCCAGCTGACGCCGAGCAACAAACGTGTCCTTGAGGGGGAAAACCAAGCCGGAGTCAGAGAACAGGTCCAAGTTCAAAAGCCAGCAGAATCCAACAATCAGTCCAGATCAGATCAGTCTAACAGAGCAGGGAGGGGCAAAGCAAAACTGCAGAAACTGGTCATAATCAGGAAAACAGAACAAAACTCTGAACACTAGAGTTAATCTCACCAAGCAAAAAACATAAATAGCAGAGGAACCAGGTGGAAACAAGCGTCAATAATTACCATAATTAGAGAGGTCAGCAGAAGCAAATGAAGAAACCGAACCGTCGTTGCTGAGAAAATGAAACCCACTGCTTTGCCCTTTTGCTTTTAATGCTTGATTTAGCTCTCACGTTTCTGACCCATTGCATCCCCCTGGAAAAAAAACATTTAATGAAGACGGAAGGATTCGTTAGAGACGTTCCAGAGAAACTTCTGAGCACAACAAGGCTCCATGACTTCACATGCCATCTGGTGACACCAGGGATTCTCTGTCTGACTTCATTCCACCCGTCATTTCCTGGTTCACTATTACTCCCTCTCTAATTAAAGAGGCTGAGAGTCCACCTCCAGTCTTTCAAATCTTGCTGTATTTTTTTATAAAATAAACTGTTAAACTGTTACTCTGTGTTCTGGCTCAATTCCCGGTCCTCAGATTCGGATCGTTATAACGGAGCTCTCCAAGGCCAGTCAGCTGCATTTAGCTGTTTAATACAAAGCTGCTGGCTGAACTCTAGAGCAGTGACAATTTCAGTTCACTTACTAGCACATCATCATACACATTGGGGCTATGCTGACTCTTTAAATTTAGACAGTCCTGGGTTTTAATGAGAAACAAACAACAAAGATTTTGTATTTACTTTGAAGCCAGGTTAACTCCCAGGCTTTGAATTAAGCCTGTTGGTGCACATCAACGGTGAGACAACTGCGCTGCTGCAGTGACTGATTGTGCCCCATTTTGAAACACACTGCACACTGTGTGCTCTCTGCATGATCACTATCAGTGTAGTCCTGCATGACTCCCCAAAGTTTGAGTATTACTCATCCTTAAGGATGAGGATCTTCTGAACACTAAATGCATTTAGTCAGACGGAAATATCTTCTGCTGATTCTCTGTCTGTTTATTTCTGTAGAAAGTTTTGTGTCATAGTCGAACTTTAAGAGTTGCTTTCCTACAGTGAGGGAGACAGTTGGAAGAATGAGAAGAAAATTAGACATCTGAATTAAAACATTATGAGCAAAAACTGGAGAAAAGTGAAAGAGCCTGCAGTAAGAGTCACAGATTGATAAACAAAACAAACTGCTTTGGATCAAATTCAGAGGTTAGAAACTATTGTGCCGTAAATATAAGAATATAAAGTTAAGATATTTATCTTCCACACCTTCCAATCAAGAGTGTAGAACCCGTCTGACAGAAGGAAGTAGACCAACAGATCAACCAAAGCCAAACATCAAGATTTCTCCAGAGAACTGTTTACAAACCAACTGATTTAGGAAAACCATTTAATATTTTCTCCAAATAATGTTTGAATTTCGTTTGAAACTATTCCAGATGCTCCAAATTCTTCAAGATAAACCTTGGTTCCTAAATAGTTATTTGATTAAATAACGCAGAAATGCAACGGAATGTAATAGCATAACACCAGGATTGGTCTTCAACCTTCAGCTGGGATCTAAATTAAGTCACAACATCTAGAGGCACCACCAACCAGAGAAATGGTTCTATGAATAGTTCTGGTTATTAACTCTCTCACCACAGAACAATAAACGGTTTAACAAACTGTTTCAGCTGATTTATATCAGTTCATTAAGAAGCAGATCTATGGAGTAAAGCTGAACCGCCTCCATAACCTTACACCCACTGAAGTCTTGCTTCCACAGAGTCAGATGAACCTTTAGTGATGTTGATCAGTAGTTTCTGGGTTTAATTTGGACAAATAATTCTTTCAAAGTTCTCACAGACGAGTCCCCAATCCAGTCCAGCATGGTCTCTTCAGACCTTTTGTTGGTACAAAAAAGATAAAAAAACATGAATGGTTCAGAAAAGCATAGAAGAGAACAACCAGAATCTGCTACCAGCTGTTGAGGAACCATCTAGATGGAGCTCAGTTCCTGCCTGTCTTTCTGTATCCTTTGGGATTTTCCTGTTAGATCTACAACAGCCATTAGGTGAACATCTGTCTTTATGACACGTTAGAAACAAAATGATAAAAAAAAAGAGAAAATAATGACAGTAACAGGTTGGGAACTTGTTTCCATTTTTTAATGATATATAAAAACAATAAAAGATAAAAATTTTCAGGTGCTTGTATGAAAGTTTTGTGAAATATTTTAAGTCCCAAACATTGCAGAAAATCCATCATCCAGTTTTTGTGAAGCAGAACATGTAGATATGATGAAAGCAGCGAGGCTTCAGATCCTGATTTTAGAGCCTTTTATTAAAATTACTGATGAGATTCTGATCATTCTGGTCAGTCTGAAAATATTACATATAAAGTTATCAATTTACTGAAGGTTTCCTCCATTAATCATTCTGGTTTCCAGTCACAGAGCTGATATATTTCCCAGTTTATATTTACTGCTCTGTTCAAAAATGTACTTTAGATAAGAACTGAGTTAAATCTAAAATCAAACAATTAATAATTATTAAATATGTTTAAACACATTTCTAACAAGGTTAAGTTGTGTGCAGAGGATCAGTGACTCTGGAGGAGCAGAAAGTTTCAGTCGTTCTTTCTGATCACTGTAGAATCAAATGTCTCAGAATCCAGCTTGGTTTGATCCAGAACCTGAAACTCATTTAATCTACAGTAACCAGATGTTCAGCCAATGGTTTGGTCCTATAGGCATCAGTTCACTGGACAGAGAAAATGAGAGAAATTAATGAATAAATTAGAGATGGATGGAGACACCCAGCAGCTCACAGTCCTTTAATTATTACATCAGTTTATTTTATTCCTCAGAGAAAATGTCAGTCTTCCAGATCACTGACAGGAAAAACAATCCATCCCATAATAATCAAGTAAAGAACAGTTTTCTATCTTACCTGGTTGGGAGTTCAGAACAACTTGTTCTGCTCCTTGTGTTTGATCCTATTATGTAGAAGAAAAGTCAGTGATTTCTTCAATAAAGTGAATATTTCTATCAACATCTGTTTAGTTAATAAACCTACATACCCTTTGGGATTTTTGTTTTTTTCTGCAAATATCTGTGAAAAGTCAAATGTTACAGTTATTAAAACAATGATGAACTTTTAATTATCTGCAAAGAATATTAAATTAAATTCAGTTTATTTATATAGCGCCAATTCAGAACTCATTTCTTCCCATTGCACTTTACAGTTCAACCAGACCATCCAGTCAGATTGATTCAAAGTTTTCTATCTAAGGGAAACC